CAGACTCCAGTGTTTCAGATTGACTTTGAGAATGTCAAGTTTCTACGCGTTGCAGTTCGGAACTGGTGAATTTTTGATGGAGAGGTTGCATTTGCGGTAAAACACACATTTTTAGGCCAACGTTTAGAAAGAGCGCAAAAATCAGTTTATGACGCGATTTTATTGAAAATTGCATAGTGTTCAGGTGCACATGAATAGATTAGACTGTGAAAATGTCAAGTTCCTATCCGTTCCAGGTCGACAGTTATGATTTTTTTATAGAGAGGTTGCAGTTGCGCTAAAACATAAATTTTTACCCCCATAGTTACAATAGACCCACAAATCAGCCCTTAGTGCGATGTAGATGAGTTTTTCACGCTGTGCAGACTCAAGTGTTTCAGATTGACTCTGACAATGTCAAGTTCCTACGCGTTGCACTTCGGAACTGGTGAATTTTTATGGAGAGGTTGGATTTGCGGCAAAACACACATTTTTAGGCCAACGTTTAGAAAGAGCGCAAAAATCAGCTTGCGATGCGATTTAATTGAAATTTGCACAGTGTTCAGAATCACATGAGTACATTCGACTGTGAAAATGTCAAGTTCCTATCCGTTCTAGGTCGACAGTTATGATTTTTTTATGGAGAGGTTGCAGTTGCGATATAACATACATTTTTACCCCCACAGTTACAATAGACCCACAAATCAGCCCTTAGTGCGATGTAGATGAGTTTTTCACGCTGTGCAGACTCCAGTGTTTCAGATTGACTTTGAGAATGTCAAGTTTCTACGCGTTGCAGTTCGGAACTGGTGAATTTTTGATGGAGAGGTTGCATTTGCCGAAAAACACACATTTTTAGGCCAACGTTTACAGAAAGCGCAAATGTTGCAATTAAAACGAACTTCGCCGAGTTTTCAGCGGCACATGAACTCGATAGACTAGGAAAATGTCAAGTTCCTACGCTTTTTAGGTTTTGACCGTGAAAATATCAAGTATCTTGTGATTGCAGGTCGGAACTTATGATTTTTTTGGAGGCGGCATTTGCAATAAAACTTGAATTTTTACGCCAACGTTTACAAAGATCGCAAAAATCAGGATTTGAGGCTATTTAAATTAAATTTTCAGATTTTTAAGGCTCAACTGTTCTAGATTGACTTTGAAAATATCAAGTTGCTGCTCATTCAGATGGAAACTTTTTCAGTTTTTATTGTAGAAGTTGCGTTTGCGAGAAAACATTCATTTTTAAGCCAACGCTCCCAAAGAGGGCAAATATTGAGCATCTTATCAGATAAACATGAATTTTACCGGGTCTTTAGATGCAAGTGCACTCAATCAACTCTGAAAGTTTCAAGTATCTGCTGGGTTTAGACGGCTATGAATTTTGAAACAAGCGACTTCAATCGCATGAAATCGTAAGTTTTTAGGAGCGCAAAAATCAGCATTTGAAGCGATTTAAATGAAATTTTCAGAGTTTTCAGAGTGATTTGAGTTCGATGGACTGGCAAAGCCCCAAGTTCCCACGCGCTCTAGATCGGAAGTTATAAAGTTTTATTGGAGGGGTGAAGATAAAACATAATTTTTGCGCCAACATTCACAAATAGCGCAACACTCAACATCCGATGCGATTTAAGTGAGTTTTTCAGCGTTTTCAGATTTAAGTGATGTCGATAAACTGTGAGAATCTTAAATTGCTAATGGGTGTAGATTGGAATTTGCGAATTTTTATTGGAGAGGCCGCATTTGCAATACAATCTAGTTTTTTTGGCCAACTATTAAAAGAGCGCAAAAATCAGGATCTGAAGCGATTTAAATGATTTTTTTTGCAATTTGGAGACGCAAGTGATCTTGATGGACCCTTAAAATGTCAAGTTGCTAATCGTCGCCGATCGAAACTTCTGATTTTTTTTAGAGATGCTGCACTTGCCGTAAAATCTACTTTTTAGGCTAATGTTTACCAAGAGCGCAAAAATTAGCTTCGCAAGCGATCCAAATGAAATTTTCAGAGGTTTCAAAGTGAACTATGCGCGATAGATTCTGAAAATATCAGGTTGCTACGCGTTCTGCATCGGAAGTTATGAATTTTTATGTGAGCGGCTGCAGTCGCATGAAACATGAATTTACAAAAAGCGCAAAAATAATCATCTTGGGCGATTCAAATGAGTTTCTCCAACTTTTCAGACTTCCGTCGATCCGGATAGACTGAAAACTTTGGTGCTCTTTGGTGTGTCTGAAAACGGTCGGAGATACTACCAACCGAAACGTTGCGATAAAACATCTTTGTAAGACAATGGAAGTCTGCATCAGCCATTCAATATTGCCTGTGAAGCACTTCTGAGGTTGCAAGCCACTCGTGCTTGCGAAACGTCTTAAGCCCGATAGTCTGATTATTCTTTCAAACAACAATATCAAAAGCCGCCCCCGTTAAAGGCTGGATCAATTGGGCAAAGAAGTTGCGGTTTACCTGATGAAACTGGCCCCGATTGGATGATTGCAAGCGATCAAAGGCATTTGATTTGATTGATAAAAACGCGCATTTTCGCCCCGACTGTTGCATTTATGGATTCGATCAGGGCGAGTTCATCAAACGCAAACCAATCGACGATCGACCGCAGGTGTACACAAAGTGAGTGGCAACTCTGAAAACTTACGACAATTTTTCTCATCGCTCTGATCTCGACAGTCGTATTCACGATCGCAGCGCTGATCCAGCCGGATCGACTCTCCTGAGCCGCACCTAAATCCGGACTGAGACGCTTCTGAGTGTGTGAAACATGCAAAAAGGTTAAATGTGTAAACGTAGCCAATTTGCAGCCAGAAGTCTGGGGCTGGTTTGCTAAAGGTTATTTTTCAGGCCAAGCGCTTGAATGGTAAAAATAACCTTCAGAACCGGCCCGAGTTCCGTCACCAGAATTTCGATCAAAAGGCACTGAAAACACACGAAAAAATCATTGAGAAAGCCTAGCAAATCAAAGCGGCATTCGGTAAGCTCTTGCGGGGTGTTTCATGCAACGGGAGCCATCATCAGGGTCGATGATGGTCCTTCGAGTGCAAGTCTGGTGGGGATACCAATCAGGGCTTACCGCCAGGACAGTTTCGTTCGTCTTCGCCGTTGCTGCATTCCGCCCGTTGGGAGCATCGGAGGTAGTTGGGGATGCATTGGCCATCCCCACAGTCAAAATCGGACGGAAGACATCCATGGGTTTCTGAACCTGGAAAAAATCATTTTTTTTTTAAATTTTCGAACAAAACTGAACATGTTGGAAGTCAAGTTCATTCGAGTTGTGTATTGGGTTTCCTTCTTATTCTTCACGCGTTCAATTATTAACATCTTCGAAAGTTTTTCCCTAAAGATTCCTCATTTAGCGCAAAAGTGATTTGCACTCGACAATCCATCCAAACTGTTGCTTAAATATTTTTGCATACTTTGATACCACTGAAAAAATGCACTCTAAAGATCGAGGGTGTTTAGCATTTTATTCAGAGAAAATGTAAATCTGCGAATTATTACGAAAACTCTTCATCTCTTTACTGGATCGAACTGCAAGTTGGCGATGATTCGCGAACAGTTTCGGAGCAAAAGTGCGATCAGAGCGAAGCCCTGCAACAAAAGCAGCCCTAGAAAACATTTTTTTTTGTACAACGGAGCAAACAGAAGAGAAGAAACTCGATTCAATTTTTCCATTTCCAGATTGAAAATATTTTTTCCCGACGTTTCGCCAGCACAAGAGGCTTGCATCTTCAGATGTCGCCGACGGCCTCAAGGCTCGAGAAATTCACCATTTTTACGCAATTTCTGTTAAGAAACAGCCCGATTTAGTCACTGGATCGACGAGGTCTGGTACGGACGAACGTTTGCAAACGT